ACTTTGTAGTACAACTTTAGTACGCGGAGTATCTGGGGAGCTGGAAGCTGAGAACTGGTGACTTTGCAGTGCAACTTTAGTACGCGGATGAGTCATCTCTCGCGGCTGTGTCATCTCTCGCAGCTGCTCTGGCGCCCCTGCAGCTGAGTCATGTCTCCCGACCACCCGGCTCTCTTAAAAGGTTGACACACACACAGAGACCCACGCACTGCCTCAACTTACTCGGAGTCACAGACAGAGACTCATACACACACAGACATTGATACACACACACAGAGACCCACACACTGCCTCAACTCACTCGACTTAACACTTCACACTGAACACTTAACTCACACTCTGACGTCCTACGTGATGAAAAATGCTTTCGGGCCACTCGTCGTCTAGTTATGTTTTTTGTTTTGCTTCAAATTGTCTAATCGCTGGTTTCTGCTGTTCCCGCATTGTTACACTTGCAACATATTTCACAAATATATGGCAGCAGTTGCACTCTTTGGCCTGGTACATGTCATACATCTTTCGCTTGGCTTCCTGCTTGATGGCCGCCAGTGGCAGTTTGTGCGTAAGTGCATCTCTAGTCATAGTGCCCTGGCTTGGAGCATGCGACAAAAGGACATGGTCACCGCCGCGATGCCATATCGCAACTCATGAACATTATCCAAACATACATACATACATACATGCATGCATGCATGCATACATACATATATACATACATACATCAATACATGCCATACATACCATACATACATACATACCATACCATACCATACCATACCATACCATACCGTCGTGCACGCATACATACATACATACCATACCATACAAACATACATACATACATGCACGCATACATACATACATACGTACATACATACATGCACGCATACATACATACATACATACATTCATGCCCCAAAGAAGCTCAGTCTCGGTCAGGCCATGAGCGCCAATGAGACCTTAAGCAGCCCCTCCACTCAGGCTGGGCCAACGCAACCTGAGACCGCATGGACGGGTTTGCGCAGAAAACTCCATGAACCCCAGCCCAACAATGTCTGAGCAGACGGAGGAAGAGCTGATGGAAACAGACCCAGAGCCTGATGAAGGGCGCATGGACGGGGACTACTTCTGAAAGACGCCCAACTGAGGCACTGACCGGCACTAGGCTGGCCAAACCGGCCATTCGCAACCACCCAACTTTAGGAAAAACATACATACATACATACATACATACATGTATACATACATACATACATACGTACATACATACATACATACAGACAGACATACATCATAACATAACATAACATAGCATAACATAATATAACATTACATACATACCTTACCTTACCTTACATTACATTCCATTACATTAATACATACATACATACATACATACATACATACATACATACATACATA